AAGCACTTTTAAATCGCGAAAACCACTTTTGGCACGTTCGCTTAGCTAGAGCATGTTTACCATAAACTTCGACTTCGATCAAAATATGATCACCTTCAGCTGAGGGTTTCTTCATATTAAAGTAATGAGTAAGAGCTACCTGAAAAAACCCATGTTCGGAATATTGAGACATTGAAATAGTAATAAAGTTACGCCATCTCTAGGCGATCCGCACGAATATAGTTATAGAGCTAATAAATAAGGGGACTTTATTTTCCTCTCTTTCATAGGGTGACACTTAGCTATTCAACATGGTCAAAAAAGTATTTTTAAAAATAATCTTCGCTGTACGTATTTCTAAGGCAGGTTAGCATAGTTTATTATAAACAAAATTTTGAAAAATTACCTTTTATTATTAAAAAATTTTGCCAACGACGACGATATTTCCACTTTCAACTTTTCGATATCATGTTTGCAGTAAAGGTGGCGGTGCTAGATCTGGGGAGTACGCTGAATGCAAAATCATTTCAAGGTTCACTTCGTGCAACATATTGAGCTTACGCAGTACTTACTTTTCTCAAAGCTTTCATATAACCTTTAGAGCGTCAGGTATCTCGATTATTGTTATTAAGCGACCATCCGAAATCATTTTGTATATATTTTTTATTTGTTTGCTTTGCGCTTAACTCGCTTGTTGATATCAATATCGTTTTTTTTCAGTAAATAGTGTTTATTAACACACCAAATTCCCTAATTTTTTTTTCAATATACTAAAAATTGTATCACTCAAAATGCATAAAAGTACACATAACTTAAATTCAAACAGAATCTGTAGAGGAGGTATATTTTCGTTTCAGGTGGTATCTTAAGAGAAATGTTTCACATAATTTTATTAAATATATAAAACATACGAACTTACTATTGTTTATTATATATTATCATGGATGAAAGTATGGAACGATTTGTTATACACTTAATTTGCGAATATGAAGACAAAATATATGAATCGGTTTTCATTGTCACATAATCACCTATATTAATGAAAATGTAATGCCAATAGAAAGACCGTGAACCTCACATTCAAGGAAACAAGGTTGAGTACGCTTAAATTTTCATTATTTTGATCATCATTAAAACGATACAAAGAGCGTTTAGATTAAAAAAAACTGAAAAAAACAGCACACTGGGCTGAGGATCTTAGAGAGAGAGCAATGTATTGTATTTGTAGCTCATAGTTCTCCAGGGACATATTTTTAAATATAGCTGCGTGCTTTTAAAATAGTTTTCTCTCTTTCTAGAAACTTGCAAACAACGGACGGATTTATAGTTATAAAAGGTATGAAAATAACATTCACCTGATTGAAAACTAAAAATTAAAGAAACACCAGTAAAATTGTAAGGCAAATCAAGTACATTTTAAACATTGTATAATTAATAACAATATATGCAAAATAATATATTCCCCATTCGCTTAACTAATCTGCACTGTATTGCGTCGACTATTGAATTAGATGGAGTTAGAGTTGCATATTTAAATCTGTTGGATATCTGTTGATATTTCTTAAACTTTGTTGTTACTTTCGCTGTTTTAATTTCCAGTTACTGCTCTTTTGCCATTTTTTGTGTTAGCAACAGAAATCAGAATCGAGCATCTATAGAAGAGCATCTACAAAGAAAGAGGGCGTTATAATTGATGTCTTTTCTAGTGCGAATTCACTAGAATATATTGTATACCGATGATTTAATATTTTGTTTGCTTGTTTTTAGCAAAATATCCGGAAACGAAGTGAGCTTGAATGTGGTGCAATAAAATATTTTTGTACACTCGCATCATATTGCTCAGAGTATTTTAGTTTTGATTAGCTAACTGCTATGTGACTAAATTTATTTATAATAATATACATGCAAACAAGGTAGTCTAACGGAGTCAAATCACATGACTTAGACGGTCGATTGCCGTTCCCATTTCTTGACATGTTTCGGTGACAAAATTTGGAAGAATAAATTGGTGGTTTCGTACAGTTTTTTTTTTAACTTTGACAGCTAACTTTTTAGAAAATTTCATCCCTACAACTAAGTGCGAAGCATATGTCAGTGAAACTATCTCAAGAAGAGAACTGAAATCTGAAATGTTTCAAAAGATAATTTGTTATCTAAACACTTTTAACTTGATTAGTTGAAAATTCTGTCGCATTCTAATTTTCTACTTAAAACGAATTCGGTCTAAGTCGAATACCTTCTTACTTGCCTTAAATATTTCTAATGCACTATTATGGTTCAAACTTTTCATTCTTGTCACAAAAATTATCTCTTTTGGAATATTTCAACGGAAAACCAGTTTCTGAAAAAAATTAAGTGGAAGCATTATGCACATTTACATATCCATTGAATATTTGGATTTTATCTGAATTTATCACTGTCGTTTACTCCTTCCAAAGATGAATTAATGCCATATATATAACTAAAGTGTATATATAGAATATATTATCATACTAGTCATGCATTTGTTTGAATGAAAATTTTGAGCAGAAAATGCTAAACTAGCTTTCGAGTATTTCGAAACTGTCTTAACATGTACTGCCAGAAGTTTGCGTTATTGTTCCATATCAGCAATATTTTTATTGTCGGTGGGGGATAATTTCAATAGCAATCATACAAAATAAATGTATTGTCAGCGAAACAGAAAATTTCGTAATTCGATTTAGAACCTGCTTGAAAGGATTTTTGTTTATATACTGAACAAGATTTGAACTAGACAACATTTATAAACTAAGCTCCTCACAAATGTGTTGACACAGATAAATGCAAGATTTAGGTCACAATTAAGTACCGTTTCAAAAAAAAATTATTTATACCGTCTCATATTATCAAATCGCCATATTTTTTCAAGTATAAATTAATATAACAAAAATAAATAATCGTTTTTTTTTACTGAATTAAAACAATATTTCTATTGAATGAGGCAAAAATATAATTCAAAATATTAGATTTCAGAAATAATTGCTTAACTTTGTTTAGAGAATAATATAAAAGTCATTGGCTGCCTTCGATTCGCCAATCGTTGGAAAGTAGCCACTCAAACAAACTACACGAGATATTCAAACAAACAGACAGCAGTTGTAGTAAAGCCCTACGCTATATTGTCCTCTGACGTATGCGCAATTGTGCTATGATTCCTTCTTCCGAGAAACATTTTTTTTGTCAAAAAAAGTTTTAGTAACCCCTTAGTTTTGTTTTCTGTAAACTATTATATATGTATATATACATATATAAGACTTTAGTTTGTAAAATTAAAAAAATAACCAAAATTTGCATTTTCATTTGTGAGTTGAGTCATTCACAATTGTAAAACTGTACAAAGATAGCGAGCAGAGCAGCGGTGAATCGAACAGCCATTATTACATTAACCTATGCAATTTAGTTCACACACGATTATAGCTTTATTTGAGTTCGCTCACTTGTCAATACATGTATATTCACATTTGAAAGCAACAGTACTGTTATAGTACATGGGAATACCAATATAAGGTGGCGCCATTTCATTAGGGCTGTCAGTTGTTATTGTACCCTTTAAATTTTGCTATCACGTTTCATCGTTGCTTTCAACCATTTCATAGATATCCAAGGGTTGATACCTATTGCATTCCAAGGTTTCTATCGGGTTTGTGATAGATATGGGCACTCACAGAGGAAGTGTAGAATCGTTTTCTTACTCCCTTCGAGTTTTCAGCTGCGGTAAATGTTGTTATAGGGCGTTTCCATTGTTAACACATGTTCTCCAAATGGACAATGCCCCGTTATAGTAGCTGTAAGTCTGTTTGTACTTTTTCTGGACTTATTTAATAAGTTTTTAGTTCTTGTCTTGTCATATTTTAGACATATTTGCTTCGTTATCACGCATTTAGTTATAGACTGCCATCTGTTCTGAGCTATTTGTTCAAGTTTTGTGTTGAGCTCTCTTTTGATCGTTCCTAGCGGGCACGATATAATTTTTAGCTGGTATTCGTCTAAAGAGGCTTTCTGTGTATATGGTAGCTTTCTGTATCCTTCCGTAGTTATTCAGTAAGACTCGACGGGCCTTCTCTATGACTAGTACTTCCGTTCAGAAAATGCTAGCTGAGTTTGGAATGTAGAAGATAGATATGCGAAATCCTCGGAGTATACCCCCTACTTCGCAATACATTTTGGACCCGTCGGTATAGATTGGAATAGTAATCTCTTCCCCTACCGAACCTCTTCTTCATTTACGTCTAGAGGGTGTTCTCAGCTGGAAGTAACTATTGAAACACAACCATGATAGTAGATAGATCTATTTCAATTTGGTGTGAGCTCTTTATGTTCCAAGCACCAGTCTCCTTAATTCTTAAAGCAGAAAATATTGATACTTTTCGTATTTCTTTTTTGCATTTAGTTATAATTTCTTATTTCGGTTTAACAATGTCCTTTTCATAAGTTCAAACTTTTGTCGCGTTTTCGGTTTGAACTACCGAACAACGAGTGGTGGTCATACGCTTTAGCTATACAGTTAGCTGCTACAAATTGCAGTTAAAAATAATTAAATGAACAAAATTAAAAATTATCTGGCTGGAGCTTTCTGAAACTTTCTGATCAATTTTTAACAACTTGACTAACATTTTTAATACGAATGCAATAATTGCTCTCATTTCTCTCCAAATCAAATTAAATTATGTGAAATATAAAACTAACACTCTGAATCGATCAACAGATGCGCTTATTTGGTTAATCAAAATGCGAATTTCCGGTTTGGAAGTTCGCAAGCAGATATTAGCATAGCATTTAACTAGATTTAATCACAGATTTTGTACACAACTGAAAAATAAAATTAAAAAGAAAATTATCTGAATTTTCTATGTATTTTATTGGGCGGTCATTTGTACATCTCTCTTTGTATATTTATATGTTGCAGTATTCAACAAGTTATAGTTTATGGCAAAGCAAGTAATTTGCATGCATTTAGTTTAGTATAAATATAGAACACCTAATTTTTTGAAGCATCAGTTCTTCGGCATCAGTCACAAATATAGCAATAGAAAATATGAAATTCCTTGTGAGTTGATTTTGATCCACATAAAGATATTAGTTTTATTATCACATATATAATTTTTTTCTTCTTCTTATTGCATAGATTGTATTCGCCTGCATGTTGGCCATCGCTTTCGCCAACGAGGAAGCCAATGTTCTGAGGAGCGAGCAAGAAGTTGAACCCGATCGCTTCCACTACGTACTTGAACTCGACAATGGCGTGAGCCTACAACAGCAAGGTCGTTTGGAGGGTGATGACGTCTGGAAGGTGGATGGCTCTTTCCGATTCATCTCGCCGGAAGGTGAAGAAGTTGGCTGGACTTATAACGCTGATGATACTGGTTTCCATCCCGATCCAAACAGCAAGTGGATTCATCCTATCCCAGAACACATCATCAAGTCTATTGAATACATTAAGAATCATCCAAGTCAGGAATAAAGTGTTCACACGTAAAAAATTAATTACGCTTTAATTTAAGTTTCAATTTGTTTGCTAATAAAAATATATGGACGAATGTGATATTAGCTCAATTGTTTAATCTTTCAATAGTTTTACTTGTATTATTGAGATGATTTGTGGAAAGAGTGTGTGTATTTTGAGATAAAACCCAGGAAATTGGTAAACAATCATTGCGGACTAGAGATTATTTATTTGCCGAATGTTTCAATATGAATTTTTTGAAGCATTATGGAGTTCGTTGCTTAAGTCTTTTAATTGTTCTTCAAAATGTGAAATGCTGTACTTACTTTATTTTAAAAATTCAGCGCGTGGGAAAAAAAAATTAATTTCGAACATATATTATTTAAAATTTTTTAGTACTTTTCCTAAATTGTAAAACTCAATTACTTCGAACTAAAATTTCTTTATATTTTCCACTAACTTATTGTACTACACAGATATAAGTATATCAGCATCGTGTTGAAAGAAAAACTTGCATTCATTTGTTAATAAAAACCCACAATATAATTGAGTGGTTTTCTGAAGATTCTGTGAAAATGTACCATAGTAATGTATATATATTTTATATTTTCTGAATGTAGAGCTTTGAACAACTATAAAGACTACTCATTTTCAAAAAAAAAATTTAAATTTTAAGTCAAATTAAGGTTTCTTCCTTAATATTGTAGAGATAAAATAGAGCGTGTCTCGGACATAAGTAATAAATTTACACCCTGATACTCCAAGATAATAATAAAGAAAACAAAATCTTGGATATTTGAATTTTCGACATAAAATTTTAGGTTAGTGAGAAAGTTGTCAATACAAAAGTTGTAGAACCTTTTAATACCTAGAACTTTGTCATATAATTTTTCTCTATATATCATGTTCATTTGTCCGAAATCGAGCTAAATAGTGATTAACCTTTAAAAACTCAACAACGCTCCTCCTCTTCCTCTTTTTAACCACAGTTCATTCGTAAATAATTTTTCCTTTAATTTTTGTAATTTTATCTTCCATATCATCATCTATAAATTGAAATAAAATACCTATTTTAAAATAAATGAGAGAGGCGGAAGTTTCTATGAACGGAATAGAATTGGAAATATTGTAAGTAAGCTTTAAGTTTTTGTACAGAAGTTATAAATTATAAGTAAACCTGAGGAAAATATTTAATGAAAAATTAACAAACATTATATTCATATCAACACTTAAGCATACTAATGTCAACATCTAAATTTTAATATTACCAATTTAACAAAATAAGAGTCACACGAGAAAATTTCGAACAATCTTACAAATAGGAAAACTAAAAGGCAAGTTTAATAATAAGAATAAAAGTATACAAAAATCATTTTTCTGCTCGTTTAATTGAATAACATTTTATTCACGGAGGTTCAGGCCACCGGTTAGTTACCTTCGACCTAAAGAATTGATGTTTGTATTTAGGCCGAGTCTTCGTAGCTACGATTTTCTTAAGTGTTGGGACCTAACCATATTACGTTACAGAACTGAAATCTTCAAGTGATTAAGAAATCTCTAATTTCATGCCAATTTATACCGCCAAAATCCAGTAAGTTATAAATGAGTTTTCTATTTTAAGTGAGATATATCAAATATGCTGGAGTATGAAATGTATTTATTTTATAAACTTAAACTTAATGGTACTTCACAAATGCCAAGCCACTTTTGCCATTAAAATAATCTAGCTCTTATGCTGGAAGAAGAAGCGCTAACGAACGCCCTTGATTTTTTGTTTTTTCGAAAACTACATATCTCCCTCCCCATAATATTTTAATTCGCGTTTAATTGTATACCATATTTATGTCCATCTTTAAGAGAGAACAATGGGACTTTCGATTTACACTTAACCAGTTATTATATTGAAATGTATTCTCAGTGAAAAATGAATAATTTTTTCTTCAAAATTGCTTTTCTGAAATTGTTTGCTAAAATTGTTGAACTTAAGAAACGCCTAAAAGTATGTTAAATTTTGAGCATCATATTTTTCAAATAAGTTATATGATAATTTAACTCGAAAGCAACGAATACCGAATTGTTAGTTCTCGATTTTCCATTCTTGAGAGGAACGTGCTACCCATTTTACCTACTTTTCTATTTCCAATTTACTTATATGAACAGTGATGTTCACAAAAACAGCAGTGCATTTAGAAATTAGAAGGACTGGTAGGTTTTCAAAAAGAAATAATGTTGAAATTTGATAAAAATGTTCATAAAAATAGCAGTCAAATAACAAACTACTTAGAATTCACTAAAAAACCAAAATTTTTAATAATTTACTAAAATAATATAATAACATAACTAATAGTAGTAAACGAGTAGGCATTGTTTGGATACCAGCGGCACAATATCGCAGCATGGCGTCCTTTAAACACATGCATCTACCATCCTCATCGATTCAGCATTCATTAGAAGTTTTTAATAGTCTGTATTTTTTGGAAATCATGTTACTTAATTTTTTATCACACAGTTTCGATGATGTCGACCAATCTACCACAATTTTTTTTTTTATAGCTGTGCATATTTTATTTACAATTTGTAAGGTTGTTGGTAATTTTATAGATCCTACGGCGTAGGACTTTGAACAGCCCATTAACCCAATTTTATTAAATTTTGTCGTCTTAAATAATTTTAATTGAGTTGTGTTGGCAGCAATGTTACTTTTTAAACCCAAGTTATATAATAATTTTCACTCAATTGTACTTGTAAATAGGACTACACTTACTATAAGCAAACCCAAAATAGCATTGTTTTTCTATACCGTTATGTTAAACTTAAAACGCAATTTCTATTGCAAATAAAACAGATTGATGCATGAAGCATATCCCAACTAGCACTCCCTTTAATATGAACATAACTGTATATATGTCTGTATTAAAATGTGTTTATATGTTTATGAAGAAGGTGAAACCATCTCATTAAGCGGATGGAATACCGGAGTTTAGTAACAATTATATTTTTTTTTCAAAATGCGTTATTTATTTCTTCTTTTGTTAATTAAAACTCATGTTCACAGTTTTCAGTATTCCTTACTGCACGGTGGCAACATGTGGATGGTAGCCGGTCTCGTCGGCCTTGTAAGTTACTTTGACAGTTTTGCCTTCAGGTGTCAGATGCTCATATTCACCAGTGACAATCCATGCTTCCTTGCCCTCCAGCGAACCCTTTTGCTCGGCTCTAATATGGTTGTCGAGCTCAAGCGTATAGTAGAAGCTCTCTGGATTGACTTCCTGTTCGTTTTTCAAAACATTAGCTTCTTCGTTGGCCAACACGATGGCGAACAGGCAAGCGAGAACAATCTAGAAAGTCATATTTTTATGAAAATTATTTTTCTTTATTTAATAATATTTCTACAAAGTAGGTCCTTACAACAAATTTCATTTTATCTAGTTAAATTTGAGTTTATCTGACTGCACACAATACTCGACTACACTTTCGATAAATACCAGCTGCAATATTTATGCGATTTCCATATATGGGTAGAGGCCCCAGTTCCGCCGAATAAGTGTCATGGAGATAAGATAAATAAAACTGTTTGCAATATTTCCAGTTTTGAACTTAATTATTAGAATTTATTGCGGCAAGCGTCACTTTTGTTTTGCTGGATTATTGCATTGCACTGCCATTATTCACGCTTCCTATATGTTTACGCCGGCAACTGGTTCTGCGAAATTATCACTGTCAAACTACTTGACACAGTCAATACCTTTACCGAAATTTACACTTCTAATTTTTTTCCCCGCATTTATGGGTCTATCCGCCTAGATCTACAAGCTTAATGATTTGCAAAAACTGGGTTCGAAAGAAGATCAGCAAATATGCAAAGCAGGGAATGCCTAAATATTAGGTCAAGTAAAAAGTTCGTTCGGTTTTTATCTAAGAGATGGCGTTATTGTCCATAGTACTAGTGTTACGTGTCGCATCATGTCATACTATACGGCGCTAAAAACGTGTTTATTAGCGCTAAAAGTTTGTCTTTGACAGTTTTTCGATTGATTTACTTAGTTCGTTGGGAGCGCTCGTCAAAGATGGACACCAATAAAGAGAAAATTCGCTATATTTTACAAATTTTCTTCGATCAAAGCGAAAAAGCAGCCAAACCGGCTGAAAACACTAATTTAGTTTGGGCCCGATACTGTAAACGAACGTGTAGCACAAAAGTGATTTGCTGGGTTCCGTTCCGGTAATTTCGATGTCAAAGATGCACCACGCGTCGGGAGGCCTGTCGTCGAAAATTGGCGCTAAAATCATGGAAATAGTGGAAACAGACCGTCACGTGAGCACTTATTTAATTGCTGAGGAACTAAAGATAAGCCAGAAAACCGTTTGGAACCATTTGCATAACCTTGGATTCAAAAAGGAGCTCGATGTTTGGGTGTCACACGAACTAACGCAAAAAACATGATGGACCGAATTTCCATCTGCAAATCGCTGCAGAATCGCAACAAAATCGACCCGTTTCTGAAGCCGATTGTGACTGGCGATGAAAAATGGGTCACTTATGACAACATAGAGCGCAAACGGTCGTGGTCAAAGCTCGGGGAAGCGGCCCAGAAGGTGGCCAAGACCGGATTGACGGCTAGGAAGGTTTTGCTGCGTGTTTAGTGGGATTCGCAAGAAATCATTTACTACGAGCTGCTCCCCTATGGCCAAACGCTCAATTGAGCCCTCTACTGCCAACAACTAGACCGCTGCCTTCACACTCATCCAGAAGAGGCCATCTATAATCAACAGCGGCCGAATTGTGTTCCATCAGAATAATGCCAGGCAACACACGTCTTTGGTGGCTCGCCAGAAGCTCCTGGAGCTCGAATGGGAGGTCCTAATCCACCCACCTTATAGTCCGGATCTGGCACCAAGTGATTACCATCTTTTCCTGTCCATGGCGAACGCGCTTAATGGTGAGAAGTTGGCCTCAAGAAGGCATGTGAAAATTGGCTCTCCGAGTTTTTTGGCAATAGGGACGCAGTCTTCTACGAGAGGGGTATAATGAAGTTGGCATCTCGTTGGCAACAAGTTTACGAACAAAACGGCGCATATTTGACTTAAATCGGACAAATGTACACAAAGTTATTATCTATTGAAAAATCAACAAAAAAACCGAACGAACTTTTTACTTTACCTAATATAATTTCTAACTGAGCATCTTGATAATGACGCGAGCAAATGACTTGTGTGCGAATACAGTGGAGAGTTAATCAATTAGTATGGCAACTGTAAAGAGAAATATATTTGTAAAAAATTTTGTAGGGATAAATATTTTTAATTTAATTAAAACATTTAAGTTGGAATATAAACAGCCAAGCTCAACAAACTGCACTCCGAAAGTTAAGAGTCGAAAGCAACTGGTTCACATTTTAACCATTGAATGCTTCTTTATTTATACCCTGAGCAGAGTATATTAATTTTGCTAAGAAATTTGAAACACACAGACAAGAAAACGTCTTACAAACTATAAAGCATATAAAAAGGCTATTTTTTTAGACATGTGGTTCTAAAGGCGCATTATGGCCAGGATTTTAGCTTTAATTTAAACACAAGGTAGCGAACCCCTGTTTTCAAAATGTCTTGGGGCAACAAGCGGCTGGCTCAAATAAATTTCAGCCGAGAAGCCCAAGTTTCGACCATTTTTGCAGCAATTGCGGCCGTAGGTCAGTAATAACACGCCGAATATTATCTTCCAAGGCGTCAATTCTCGCGAGCTTATCTGCGTAGATAAGCGTCTTTACATAGTCCAATAAAAAATAATCCAAGGGTGTTAAATCCCACTATCTTGGAGACTACCCTCTGTCTTCTCTCCCCCTCTCTCTGTTTTTGAGTTTGTAACGGCTTCTAAATAATGGCTTGTGGATTATCATCACTTCAAAAGCGACAATTTTTTTTTGTTAATTTACCCATTCAACCAAAAGTTAGCTTCATCGCTGAAAAAAATGTTCCTATGTAAATCGGGACCGGTGGCCACCTCGTTTTGGCCCCGTTAACCGTACGTGGGGCGCTCTTGATGTAACGACCATTAATTATTAAGCGTTATTCCGATTAACTTAAGTGAGTATAGATTACGTAATAACTGTCACAATGATCAACTCCCAAAAAAGTATTGCCTCATTGAACCCCTTATATATGAACAACGTGACAAGATGAGTCTTGTTAACCAAGTCCGAATGATGTCCGATGTATGCTAACTAGTCCCTCAGTTTTTGAGATATGAATCTGAAATTTTGCATATGTACTTTTCTCTCAAGAGCCTTCCCCTTTGTCAGAACCACCGATATTGGACCACTTTAACATATATGCAGCTTTCACACAAACTCACCGATCGAAAACAAGATAACGACTTTTCTCAAATAACTTTTCTCTTAATAATACGACTTCAAGGTTGTTGAAATCAAAAAAGAAAAGATTAACAAAACGTATATAGTTGTATGGAAATCGCTCGCCGTTATGTTTCCAGATTTAATTATATATTTCTGAAGGGTATAATAGCTTCGATGCAGCCGAAATTAGCGTTTATTCTTGTTTTCAATTAAAACACCCACTTTTGATTTACCAAGCTGATCTTATCTGTGCGATGGTTTAATTTTTAAATGACCATTAATTGTACGTAATTGCTGTTAAGTTTTTCATTTAATTAGTTTATTCTAAAAAAGTAGATATTTAATTTCGTACCGAACCTGCCAGCTTAAACTGACTTGTATTTTTGTACACATTTACAATACCATATATACTGCCCTAACATTTAATAAAACAACATCTCCAGAAAAGAAATATAAATTAATTAGCAAATTTAAAAATTGTGTTAAGCTTTTTAAGTAAAGTTGAAAAAAAAGAATGGAAAATAGGGTGGGTCAAAAACAGCGAATATTTGTTTTTGCTTCGTAAATTTGTTGATAGACACTTCTAAGAAAGGCTCTTCAAGTATGAGCTCTTAATTGTAATGGGAAAGTCATACGCCTTACAGTTTTCTATTTAGGTATTCTTATAATCAGATAGAAAATTTCATATCTCGCTTCAAACTACTTGAAAAATATCTCGTTTCGTGAAGTTTATTTAGTTTATGGCAAATTTGTTTTTTTCTTTTGAATTTTATAATTCAATAAAAAATAAGAAAAAACCTTAATTTTGGTTTCACTGAAGTTAATACCCTTCACAACTACAAAAGATTCCTTACAAGAACTTTGATAGCGCACTTTGTAAGGTAGCTATATGCTAAGATTGCCTTGGTCAATATACTATGTCAAATTTCTTGAAGATATCTCGTCAAATTAAATAGTTTTCCATACAAGCACTTGATTCCGATCGTTCAGTTCATATGACGGCTATATGCTATAGTGGTTCGATATCGACCAATAAGCAGCTTCTTGATGAAAAAGGACGAGTGCAAAATTTCAGATCGATGTCTCAAAAAATGAAGAACTAGTCGCATATGTACAGACAGATGGACGCATAGACGGACAGACGGACATGGCTAAATCGACTCAGCTCGTCCCGCTGATCATTTATATATATGTTTTATAGGGTATCTCACGTTTCCTTTTGGGTGTTACAAACAGCATGGCAAACATAATATACCCTGTACAGAAATAAAAATCATTTTAAATGGCAAAGCTCATATTCTTGTAGGAAATTTACAGCTCTACAAAAATGGTCTCTTTTTCTCTTTTTAATTTTTTTTATTTTGTGTTTTCATTTGTTAGGCATTGATGTTTGACGATGAATATCTCGTAAACGCTTAATTAAATTAAAAAATTATACAAACCATTTTTGTGGAGCAGAAAATTTTCTACAAGAGCTATGAGCTTTGCAGTTTGAAATGTCTTTTTTCATTGATTTATAAAATTCAAAAGAAAAAACCAAATTTGCCTTAAAATGGTCAAACTTCAACCGCTAATATCATTAGGTTTACGAAAAATTCGTAATAGACCTTTTTTGAAGAGTATTAAACTTCCTACAAAATCCAAAATGCGAAAAATGTTTTCAAGTAGTTGTAAGCGAGATATGAATTTTTCTATCTGAAAATAAGAAAAAAATGGAAAGCCGTTCGGCGGAGGACCTTCCCGTTACAATTATGAGCTAATACTAAAAAGACAGTCGGATTTTTTGACCCACCCTAATAGGGAAACAGTCTAAGCTTCGTACATATTTTTACACTTGCTTTTCTTGTTTTCAAAACAAACAAAATTTTATAACATTTTTTTAATTTGATCACCAACGATTAAGGTTCATTTTTAGTCTTTATATACCTAACAGCTGTTTGCTATAATCACCAAACAAGTTGTATACATATAATATTATTGGCACATAACGGTTCTTAATTCTAATATCATAAAATACTCGAACCTAGGTTTCATATCATAAAGAGATGATAGTGATGAACTTAATAGAGTTTGAGCTGCTTCTGTCTGCGATTTTAAATGAAATTTGGTGTACACTTTTGTTGTAACTCTGAGGAAGACGATTTTGTAAATAAAGAGAGACTTTCTGCAACTAAGTTTTATGTAAATATTATAAGAAAGAAATCCACTTAAATTCATT